ACCTCTTAATAGTGATTAGGCTCTAATTAAATGTACAAGGACTAAACTGCCCCTACTTAAGTATGGGACAGAGAACCTCTAATAAGACTGCCACATAAGCTCATAACTTAACCAAGGTGAGTTGACTAATCTACCCTTATTTGGCTAACTCTAACAACCCCAGTACATACTATCCCTTATAGCCCCTTGTTTTGCCAACCCATTTGCAGACCTTGGTGTCGAGGTTACACTTGCTCCAAATTCATGTAGAATGTTTTTTCTCTCAAACAAACATATCTATACTCACATGGAATCTTGATGTCATCTCATTATGTTTATATTTTATTTTGGTCTGTAGCCTGTAGGCATTGGTCACATAACATTCTAGAATCGCATCTATACCCAAAGTCCACAGCAATGATCTCTGATTTTTTGGAAAAGCTCTTCCCAACTGCTCATTGTTACTAAATAAAAAGGAATTCCTAATTTCCTATATAAGGAAAACTGTAATGATCAAATGCTTGCAGGTTGGCATTAATATTTTAAATTCTCAAAACATATATTATCACTGTAACAGCAATTATCTAATGCTAATTTAATTTTGGGTATAGGATGTTAAGAGCTTTCCTATAGGAGGGATAATGATGTGTGATTATTCAACAGGATCTAACAGATCTTCTTGACGCTCCTGTGGTATTTGCTCATAATGATTTGCTGTCTGGGAACTTGATGCTAAATGACGATGAAGGTAACTAGTATTCCCCTTTATCCAGTGGATGATATTTTAGGTGACTCTAGTCAAGAAGTTAGAATCTATTTTTCTCTTTGAAATTTGAAGTAGCTTATATATATATATATAAGCAGTCTTTAGGTGTTAACACCTCAGAGGTTCTGAGTGTGAGATATCACATGGAAAAATGAAATCTAAGCATGTGTTAATGCTTAATGTGAATTGAACAATGCTATGATAATCCAACTTTTGGTTGTCTGATATGGGTAGGCTGATTTTAGCTTCTGTTTCTGACCTCAATGTTTATGGACTTCCAGAAAAACTTTATTTCATTGATTTTGAGTACGGATCATACAGCTATAGAGGCTACGATATTGGGAACCACTTCAATGAATATGCAGGCTTCGATTGTGATTATAGCTTGTACATTTTCTTCTCTTTTCTTTTCCTTCCATACCTTGCAAGTAAATGCATTGATCATATAACAAGGTTGGCTTTGTGGCTCCAATATAGGTACCCAGACAAGGATGCACAGTATCATTTCTTTCGGCATTATTTACAACCTGAAAAACCTCAGGAGGTAGACAAGTTGAACAAATAATCTTTAAATTACTTAATATTTGCATGTTGCTAGATGTATTCTGGCTTCATAGTGTTGCATTCAACCTGGAGATATCTTTTTTTTTTTTTTTTATCTGAGTTAAATGCATGTGTATTTGGGGAAATCAATGAAGCATAGATCAATGTTTTGTAAAGATACGCGGTCCAGAAATATGCTAACAATTCATATGGCACAAAATGGTGACCTTCAAAGAAGTCATATAGACATCAGAAGTTTGGGCTGTTTTGATGACTATAATGAGATAAAAACTACATATCTTCGTAGACGTTTTTTTTAAAGAAATTCATTAAAAGAAGACAAAGAACTATAGACAAGCAAAACAAACTAAAGGACTCAGAGAACACTGAAAAGAAAGCATCATGCAAGACACAAATAATGACCTAACAACATAACCTACTAAGACCTACTAACAAATCAACATCAAAGCCCAACAGAAAAACAAAGAGTTAAGTCATAGCATCATCATAATTAATGTTGGTTATCAACCAAGATGGCAGATCATAGTAGACTATGTGCAGTAGTCCTCGTACATTCAGTGGTAATAAAATGCAAGCAATCGCTTTTTGTTTTCTTGATTTTTCATTCCCTCTCTCTCCCTCTCTCTCTCTCTCTCTCTCTCTCTCTTGGATAATAAGATCTTGCAAGTATGACTTATATTCTGTACCAACGGGCATTTACAGGATGCAGTTAATCTTCTGCAATACTTAGGCTTGTAGATTTTCCTGGATTAGGCATCTACCAGCCGCTAGAGTACCTTGCTGGACATGTAAATGAACTAAATATTAGATGTTTTTTCATTGTAAATGTATCTGAAGTGCATTCTAATTTTAGTTCTATTTGTGGTGATAATGCATAATTTAGCAATGGATATGGCACTAAGCAGAATGGAATGGCAAAACAAGATTCAGATAGCCAACCCCATATAGTTGAAATAAGGCTTAGATGATGATTACGTGGTGATAATGCATAGGAAGACTAGAAGAGTACTTATATTAGCTTTCTGTTGGCTGTTGTTGCTGCCATGTTTGCTTGCTTGCTTCTGATTTCTGTTCAAGATTAAGTTCAATACAAAATTGTTTTTATATTTAACTATTCTGTTGGGAAGTAGCCTTCACAATGTGGGCTCTTAACTTTTTGTTGGTTAGTGGAGGCATATATTTAATTTGAACTTTGAAACTCTCTGGTTTCTACAGCTAAATATCTTCTTTGTACCAGGTATCTGTTGAAGATCTTGAAGCTCTATATGTCGAGACCAATTCATTTATGCTAGCATCACATTTGTACTGGGCTCTATGGGCACTTATACAGGTAATATCTTGTCTCACTCCTTGCCACTTGGGTCCAAGAAGGTAGACTGATGACAACTCTTATTTGATTCTTTCTATTGACTGTAGGCAAAGATGTCCCCCATTGATTTTGATTATCTCAGTTACTTCTTTCTCCGCTACAATGAATACAAAACTCAGAAAGATAAATATTTCTTGCTAGCACGATCATATGTTGCAGGATCCAAGACTGGGTGACTTATCCACATTACCACCATCATTTGTTTATGGAAGATTATAATCTGTATTGTAGCATTAGAATATCTCCTTTAGGTTTTCTTGTATCCACTAATTAGAATAAAGTAGTCTGGGGCCCATGATTTTCTTTGTTATAATTCTGAAACATGACGTTAAAATTATTTAGTCTTCATATCTGTAATAGCTGCCTTTTTTATTCAAAATTTCTGCCTTCTCCATTTTTGTGAATCTGATGTCTGGTTCTACCTATGATACATGGTTTGGTCTTTGGCTCTGGACTAAATACCAACCAAGCATGTTTAGACATTTGTTATGGTTTGTCTTTTTACGGACTAACTAACTGTTCATAATAATTCCGAAACCTGTTTCACTTTTGTTGGTGAGGTTGTAGTGCCTTTCTATTGGGCTAACCTGTAAACGGGTTTGAAGGTCCATAACACAACTGCTCCATGTTTCATGCAGTCAAAGAAGCTCCTTTCACCAGAAAGCATCAATTATCAAATGGACTGTAATTATTGAATACAATGTGTTTGTTTTATTTCTGAAATTTTCTTGAGATTTAATAAACTTTCTTTATCATCCATCTGAACCTGACAACCCGACCCAACTACAATTAAAACCTAGTTCCAACTTATAATGATCTTACTTGCTGATTTCTGATGATAATTTCTGATCTTCGCACTAATTGATCTTTTAAATGAGACCTGCTACTGTGGTGGGTTGGGAATTTTAAAGCTCCTAAAATAGAACATGTGGTTAATTATGGTGGCATTCTTTCAATTACACTGGTGTTCTCTAATGTGAGCTGTTTTTCTTGTGAGTTCAAAAAATAAATCAAAACCTTTTGGTTTCAAAACAAGGTTTATTGAAGTCTTGACTAACAAGATCCTCAATCCATTTCGGGCAGTTTTGAGCAAAACAGGCATACAGAAAGCTCATGAGCTATTGCATTTACAGTCCTATTTACAAAACAGAAACTGATGCTCCTAGATCTCGATGCTTCTAAAATATCTTAGCACAAAAAGAGAGCGTCCCTAGCCAATTTGATAAGTTGCCCTTTCACCTGAGTTAAGTTTAAACAGTGACTTTCTATAGTTATCTGCCCAGGATGAAGATTGCTACTCAATTCTATGCCCTTCAAAATGGCTATTGCTTCTGCTTGGATGGATCACAAGAGTACAAGACCGCACTGCTTCCAATACTAGACTGCAATAGCATTTCCCCTGTGATCTCTAGCAACTAGTTCAAGACCAGCTTTACCAACTTTCAAAAAGCTCCCATCTGTGTTAATCTTTACACAGTCAGGCAAGGAAGGCTGCCAAACGGACCAGTTGATCTATTACTTTCCAGTTGGGAAGAAGGCTGCAATTCTCGAAGGGAGGTCACGCTCCTCTCTATCATAATCCTAGAAACACAATCCATAGTCCACTCTGGGTTTGGGTTAATACTCTAAAAAATAAACTTGTTCATATATTTTTTTTCAAATAGACCAAATAAGAAGAGCAGAATAGAGCAGTAAATCATCTTTTCTGTCTTTAAAAATCTTACACTAATCTATCCAAGTACTGAACCACGCATCAAAAGAATTTGCCTTGCCAACGAAGTTTTACAGCGAAACACACTTCCAAACCAAGTTGCTTTTGCATGTCACAATAAAGAACATGTAAAATAGATTCTTCATCTTTATCACATATTGAACAAAGTTCTTAATTTTGGAGTCAACTTTTAAAATCCACCTCTTTCCAGTGCTCTTTTATCATTGTACTTGGACGGTTGAAGTGTTGATCCAACCCCTCCCTCCCTATAGCAATCCAAACCGGATTTCTTGCCCTCTACTCTCTACCCGCCTTGAATTGCAGTCATACATCGCCATCTTGCATTTTGAGATGTGCAGTTGCAGTGTAAGGTGGGTAGGGTGCAGGTAGAGAAAGTGAGTAAGAAATCTGGGTTCATAGCAATCAGTCTGTTCTGAAATCAATTTCTTTGCAGTATGATAGGCTGATTTTACACTGAATACACCATTTTCGTTTTGGTTTCAAAACAAATTAGTTCTTAAAACAAAAGCGCATAAAACATCTTCTTGGTTGTATTTATATTTTTTATTTCCAAGACTGAAACAAAGAATGTGTTATTAAATTTCTAGTTTGAATTTTGAAAAACATTATTTTTATCTGATAATATGTTATTATATTTCATAAACCGTATAATATCTGATAATATTAATTTTTTTTTATGCTTTCAAAAACATGAATGATCTTTTGAAATAAAACCAACTTGAATGAAATGATGTGATACTTTGTTTTTTGTTTTTCTAAAAGAATTTTTTTCTATTACATACAATATCTGAGAAAAATTCGTATTGATTGGTACTTTTATATCCTCATTTGAATCTATATCTATAGCACTCACTGTCTGTCATAGAAAT